TCGGCGATTTCTGTTCGGTGGCAACACAAGAAGTTAAAACCTGCAGATACTGGTTTTCCAGCCCATTTTGCTGGCATGTAGACGGGACACTTGGTGTCGTTCTCCGTCTACGCCTGGCAGCCGGATCCGGAACGGGACAGCGACCTACCCCGGCGGAAAAGGGTCGTATTCAACCGTGGATCCGGGCGCGACTTACATTCGTTCTGGTAAAGTGTTTTCTTCGTCCCGGCGCGTCCTCGGTCACAGCAGCAGACGCCACGCGCCTGACCCCCGAGCTGGAGTCCGGGGCCGGCGCCCTCCCCGGCTCGTCCCCGTGTGCAATGTGGTCGCGCACGGGCCGGGGAGCGACAGGACCGGAGCACCAAGCCCCACCGCCCCGCTGCTCGGACCCTCAGCGGGCGGCCGGGGCGCCTCCAGGTCCGCTCGGGTCCCCACGTGTCCCGCGAGTCGCCGAAGGGCCCCCCGCACCCCCCCGGCCCCCCCGCTCCACAGGGCCCGGCGCGAGCCCGCGCTCACCGTGGTCGCCGGGCGAAGGGACAGCGGGCGCCCCCGGCCAGCGGCGGGTCCGGTACCGAAGCCTCCGTCCGGCCTCAGCGCGCGGCGAGGACGAACCCGCGGCCCCGGGGGCTGCCGTTCCCCGGGCTCGGGGCTGCCGGCCGGGGCTGCGCTCCTCCGGGAGGGCGGCGGGACGCTCTGTCCGCGGCGCCGGTCCCCGAGGCCGCCTGGGCCCCCGCTTTCGGCCCCGCAACGGAGAAGCGCACGGCCGCGCCCACACCGACGGCCCCGCGCCGGCCGCCCGCTCCCGTCATCCGCGCGGCTCACGGCCGGGGCAGCCACGGGCCCGGGGAGCCATCGGCGAGGGGCGGGCTACGGCCCGCGCGGTCCCCGAAGCTCCGGCGCCGCCTCCCCGCCCGCGCGCGGCTCCCTGGAGCGGCGGCACTCGGAGGACGGGGTGTCCTTCGGCCCAGCTCCGCGCCCCGGGCCCCTCCTCCCGCCGCCGCCGCCGCCGCGCCCGCCGCGCACTCCTCGCGGGTTCGCGCCCCGCACCAGCCTCTGGGTCCGCGGTGGCGCACAACCCGCGCTCGGCTCCCGGGCGCGTCCTCCACGGGCGGCGGTCAGGTGGGAGGGCTCCGGGCGGGGGCTCGGGGCGGGGGCTCGGGGCGGGGGCTCGGGGCGGGGGCTCGGGGCGGGGGCGGGGCCACCCGCGCCCGCGCTCCCACCCCCGCGTGCGGCTCCCTGCCCCGCGGGAAACCAGACCCCAAAGTTCCCGGAACGCGGGAGGGAGCAAACCCCACCCCGGCCCGCGTCTGAGCCCGCGGAGCTGCGGGCTGTGCGGGGCTCTGCCCGGGTGACCCGAAGGGCTGCCCTGAGGCCTCCGCGCGGGCCGGGCCGAGCTGGCTGCGGGGACCGTGCGGGCGCCCGGGGCTGTGCGCTCCCCGCGGCCTTCCTGGTGACCGCTCGGAGGGCGGTCGAGGCTTCGCCCAACCCGCGGGGCCCGAGCACTCACCGCTCGCAGGGGCGCAGGGGCGCCGGGGCTCGGCGCTGCCCCCCGCTCGCCCGGGACGGTGCGGAGCCTGGTTCAAGAGCCCGTGGCTGCTCGCGCTCCGCTCCGGAGACACTCAGAACCGGGTTCGGGTTCGCTTCTCAGAACACAGCACCTCGGCGCAAACACGTCTCCCGCGACGGGCCATGGGCCGGCGGTGTCCTCCCGCACTGGCCCGCAGGCCGGCCGGCTCCGAGAGGCGGTAGCAGGGACCGCGGTTCCGGTGCGTTGCAAGCGCGCTGCTCGGCGGGGTCCGCGCCCGGGGACACCCTGGGGGCCTCTCGGACCCCGCGGCTGCACGACGTCGAGGACGAGCCGAACCACCCCCACGATCCGGACACCAGCCGACCGCCAGCTCTCGGGACGCACACGAGCATCCCTGCGCCCCCAGACCGCGGAGCCCTTGACGGCAAAGATCGGACAAAGTCTACACAGCACTTGCCGGATTTCAGACGAGCCGCGCCTTCTTATTTATTGCTTAATGAACTACGGTGACTGAGCTGTACAATACGGGAGCCCCCAAATGTGACTTTCCGTCGTGAGAACGTGACTAGTGGAACTGGAGCGGGTGGGAATACACCTACACTGATTCGTCGGGCAAGCGTCCCATTTTAATATATGCAAACTGATGACACTAATACCAGCAAATACTTAGTTCTACATATTCCGGGCGTATCATGCTGACTAATTAGGGTCAAAAGCAAGGAGCCACCTTTAGGCCTTCTTCTCACGGACGGCATCTCGTCGCTTACTCTCCTGCTTTCTGGCACTAAGCCGTTACCAGCCTCGTGCTGGAATGATCCATGAGGCCTCTGGGTTCCCTGCCCAGAGAGCAGTGTCAGCTCTTGATGTGCTCCAGGCGAGAAAAGAGAAATTCAGAAATTTGTGTTTTCCTTCCCAGTTACAGAGAAGAGGTGGGCAAGGAAACGGCCCTGGACCCCACTAGAAGAGAATGACGCACACAGGCGTCCTTTCACTCGGTTCGGAGACTCACGGGATCATCCTTGCCAAGGGTCAGCTGTCCCCTGCCCCATTGGCCTCAAGAATGAATGAGCCCACACGGGAGCGGCTGTGCTGGGCCTCCCCGCCCTAGGCGGGTGGCAGCTGTCACGCTGGCTGTGGCTCCCCCAGAGCCAGGCAGGCTCCCCTTCCTCGTCGTGGGGCTAGCCCAGACGCAGAAAAACCCCGAAGCAGGGCTCTGCTGCTTCTCCGCGTGGCCTCCCCAGACGCCCCCCCACCCCAGAACCCCAAGTCTGAGGCAGCTGGCAGGCGGGGCCGCGGGCAAGTGGGGCTTCCCTGGAGCCCCTGGGCAGCTGCCCCGCTCTGCCAGCAGGACCGGGCCTACTCCCGGCCAAGATGTCTGAGGCTGCAGGAGAAACTGCTTCTCCAAATGCTTTTGAGAAAGAACCTGCCTCCAGCCTTAGGATGTCAAAAGATCAGTGAGGCCTTGCCTCTCCTCAGGACCACAGGCCATGCTTTGGTCAAGACCCTGCCATTGTAAGAGCCAGAGGCAAGATGGCTGGGGGGACCCTGTCGGCCTCCCACCCCCACCCCAGCGTTTCTGCTCTCCTGTCATCATCTCCTGGCTCCAACAAGATGGTCGGGCGGGAGCCCAGGCTCTTCAGGCTGCTGACAGACGCCTACTGTAGGATTTTGAAAGTGTCGGAGAACAAAGTGAGAGAGAAGAGGAGGGACCCAAACAGCCTGACTTGAATGTGGTAGGGTGAGGTCGGGGTAGGCGGAGGGTGCTGGTGTGCAAGTGTTTAGTGAGTTTTCTTTTTGCCAGAAGGGCGTGGAAAGTAAGATAAAAACAGTAATGATAGAATACTAGAATCTGAGCACACGCAGTCTGAGCCCAGAACCCACGCGGTTGACAGCAAAGAGCTATTGAGCTGGACTGAGGCCAGAGAGTGAACTTGCAATTAACAGAATTGAATCAAGGCACCTGCCCCCTCCTTTTACCCTGGTAAAGAAATCCCATTTCCAACCCCAGTCCCTGTAAAACTTCCACTTCCACTCCGAACAGACAGGCTGGAGAGAGGTAGGCAGCTGACTCCCTCCACTGGTTTCTCCACTTACACTCTTTGAATGCCTCTGACTTCCATTTCTGCTTCAGGTGGACAGTCACAGCGTACGTCTCTGGGAGAAGCAAGAGAGGGCGAGCTACTGAGGCAGAAGTGACCTTCTAAAAGAGCTCTGACTGGTGAGATGGCCCCTGTCAGGAGGGATCTGGTCTCCAGGATTCACCTGCCACTGGGGCTCTTACTGGCCTACCAGAGACTCAAATGTCTTCACTTGTTTTCTGACAATGAAGTGATGAGGACAGGATACAAAAATGGAACAGTATGTGAATGTTTATATAGAGGCTAGAGTGTGCTTGTCCGTTAAAGAGTTATGAAAGTCACAGAAACCATATAGAAAGGGTAAAAAATGACTAAGGAGACAGAAAAAAATTACCTTATGATATAGCATTATGGGATATATACTGAGAGAATAGCACCCAGATAAGACCTATGAGAAAACTCATTTTGATGTTTTGATTTTCATAATAATAATGCTATGTTAAGATAAAAATAATGCTCTTTAAAGTGTTTATAAAAATAATAATTCTACCTCCTCATTTCTCATTAATAGTCCACTAGTCTAGGGGGGAAAAAAAACCTTCTCAGTGGTTGCTGGCAATGTGGCTATTTCCCACATTTTTTTTTTTTTCAGTGATTCAGGTTTTGTGAACTCTTTTTTATGTTTAGGGTAAAATGGTGTCTCTAAAACTTATCTTGTACATGCTAAGATATTTTAGATTTGGCTGAGAGACCAGATAGCTACTCTAAGTAGGCGACAGACACATATTCATGTCAGACCCTAGACTAGGGTTTTAGGATGCAGATCTACAAAAAAAAAAGAAAAAAAATCAGCAGCAGAAATGACATACTGATTCTTTAACTTTTTGTAGCCCAAGACACATCAATACATTTCTTGATGAAGCACTAGCTAGCTGTAGATATGAAAGTGGTGTTATCCTGTGCTCCTAAAACTTTTTCTGCACCCCTGTAATCCTCCTGGTGGTTCCTGTGCCATAGCAGGCTTTGGAATCTCGTTACAAACCTTAATCACACAGTTATGAATGACCTATGCTTGTTTAGGATTTTCTCAGAACCAAAGAGCAAATTATAAGAGTACCTGAGCAGCCAAATAGGTGAAAATGTAAATTAAATCTCCTAAGAGAATTTCTTTTTTTGACATTTTAATATATATCAGAATATGTTAAAAAGTCTTAAAACCAAAATAAATTTTCAAAGCTGCATTTTAGGCTATTCAAGTCTTATTCATTATGTCATGGGAATGAGAAATGATTTATATTATCTTCCTCATATGAAAGACAAGAATCCAATCTCAGACCTCCTCTTTTCCTGAAGAAAAATGTTTCACTTTTTCTCACAGGATTTCTTTTACTCACGTTTCTCAGGCTTCTCTAGACCCACCCTTGTTCTCCAGTTGTAATTAAATGTCTGTCAATGCAAACAAGGGAAAGTTCCAAATAAGAGTTTAACTAGTGCAGAGCATTAGATAGAGTATTATGGAACAGTATTTCCCAACCATGTATTCTATAGTCCAGTCCTGTTCATTAACAGCTTGATAGATGTCACCTGCACCATCGACCTATTCTCAATTGTCTCATTTTTCCTTGAAGTTCTACATTCTGAGTTTTGGTACTGTGAAAATTAAAAAAAAAAAAAAAAAGAAAAGAAAAGAAAAGAAACTTCCTTTACAGTGGAGTTGGAGGCCAGCAGGGGGAGCTCTCGGACCCCACCGCCGTCGTCCGTTGCTGAGCCAGTAGGAAGAGAGGGGCCTCGCTTGGGAACGCTGCCTACCCCAGCAGGAAGAAGAAAGGCTTTTCTTCTACCCTGGCAACGGCCCAGCCAGTGAGACACTTTGCTACTCAGCCAATGAACAGCCACTGTACTTGGGACTCGCAGTTTACTCTAATGGACTTTTTTTTTTTTTTTTTTTTCTATACCAGCCTTCCCAACTAGCCTCTTTCTTCTGTAAGGTTCTCCTTTGTTCTCTGGGCTTGTCTGTGGCTTTGCTGTAGTGGGCTTGTGCCAGGTTGTAACTGTCTGCTCTTTCTGAATGAACACATTTTTGCTGGTTAACTACCGGCAGTTTTATTTTTAAGGTTAACAGTCTTTAAATTTGCTAATGTAAAATAAATAAATAAGTAAATAAATTTGCTAATGTATATTTGTCAGTAAATGAGGCTTCTTGTACCTGTAGAGGATCGGCCTGAAGCTCTTCATACTAAATAAAATATATTTTGGAGTCTCTAAATCCCTATCAGCACTCTGTTTCTCTTGTATAAGTAGATTTAGCACTCCCCCCACCCCCAAACGGTAGAAATGTTTGGAAATAAATTAGCATCTTATTTTTTTTAAAATTACTGTTGCCGTCTTCAATGGTTACGTATATTTCTTCTCTCCCCTATATTCTCCGCATCGTGAGGACAGGAATCACGTTCTTTATGTATTCTATGTGCTTATTTCTAGTGCCTGGTATATGGAAAGCATTCAGTGTTTGCCGAATTGAACATTCTCACTCTGCTGTGGTGCTTACTATGATTTTGTCCCATTTTAAACAAAGAAAAACTATATTAACTTAGATCCATGAGACTGAGCTTCTTTAAGTCGTCAACCTATGTTTATTTGGACAATCATTTCTGGCATTGAGATGGAGCCAACTTCTTTTGCATACAATGTGGGTATTAAAACCAGATAAATACTTAAATCATTGATCAAAAATTTACTATTTCAAACATCATATTGTATTTTATGTTTTTTGCTTAGGGCATATGTGCCTTCCAACATGATTGATCCATTTTCTGAATAGCCTGATTGTTAAAAATAATCTGTCCCAGTTTCATCAAAATAGCTCAGCTTCCATCTTGGAATTCTGTATTTTCACATATCGATTAGTTCCTAATTTTTATTATTCCCATTTTAAGGTATATTTAGCAAATTCTTAGCTTTAATATAAAATCTATTAAACCTTAAAATGTTTATTTAAGAAGTTAAGGGTATTAGAATAGATACTTGAGGGGTATTCGCATGGACAAGGGACTTAATTTAGATTGTTCTGGTGGGAAGTGCTGGAACCACCAAGAAGAAATCATGGGAGGCAGATCTGGTTTTAATTTAAAAAGGATTTCTATTGGTTAGAGTTTACAACAGGATGGAATGATTTGTGGGCTTCCTCTTAAACCAGAAGTTAGATAATCTATCTGGGATGCTGTAATGAAGATTTTTTAAAAGAATAGCAAAATTCCATATCCTGTAAGATGAGTCCTCCAAAGCCAGGATTCTATAATTTAGAAGTTGTTTTGCAATATGAAGACATGTGAGCTGGCCTTTGGAATGCACCCAGCACTAAGGCATTATCTTGATATCCTACTGTGTGTGCCCTCTACAAGGACAGAGACAGCTCTGGTATGGTTGTTGCCTAAGGAAGCAGTTTATCATTTTGTAAAGATTTTCCCTAAAGAGCAAATGTACTACCAAATGGTGTATAAATTGGTACTCATGGAAGAATTCTAGCTAATTGGACGTAAGCAACAGTCTATCCACATGGGGATATTTTATGGCTTGTGAAGTTTCACTTAACGGATAACCTTGTCTGATGGAGTGGGGAGCTACTAAAACTTAGAGCTAATAATGGTAATTACTATTTACTGAGCACCTACTATGTGCTGGAAACCATAGTAGCCTTCTCCATGCTATCTCATTTAATCCTTACACTAGCACCTTGAAGTATGTGTAATTTGTTTGAAATATGAGGAAATGGAAAAAATAAGGCAACATCTAATATGTGGTGGAACTTGAATTTGAACCCAGGCCTGAGTCCAAAGTCTCGATTGTCTACACCCACAATAGCCTATTAAGTCTGGCTGCATTCCAGGCAGCATTCCTTATCCAACTCCTAATCCATCAACTTTGATGGGCAGTATCCATTGCCAGAAACATCTTCATTAAAATGTCTCCTAAAAATGCTCCCACATGCACAACATCTTAAAACTCCAAAGGGATCCTCTGATACGTCTATCAGAAATTAAGTTTATTTATTATTGATAAATCTTAATCAACGTTCTTAAATAGTCAGCTTGGTTATTTTCCTGACATTTTGTTAAGTGAACATGGGGATATTAGCCTTCTAGTTTTAGTGATGGAGAGAACAAAAGGTATGAAGCCTTGCTGCCTTACCTCAGTAGTCATAAATGTAGTAGTAGAGATTGTAGTAGAATTTCTTTCTCTCTGATGTTGCCTTTCTGGCTCTATTAGCAATTCTACTGTTTTTCTCCAAAGCTTCTTTTCATAGAGTTTTAATAACAAGTTTCTCTTTCATGTATGTTCCACATTTAGGGCTTATATCCTTCCAAAGATTTTTCACTCCATTTTTTCCCAACTACTTCATTGCCTAGAGTGGTTGAAGAGAATAATTTTCTGCTTAAACAAAGTTATCATAAAACCAACACATGTATAAACCAATTTTTAAAAAGTTATTATCTTAGAATAAACACTTTAGTCATATTACTACTCAGATCCTCAAGGAAAATAACATCTTTATTTCCTATGACCTATCCTTGTTCATCTCTACCCCACTAGGTGACAAGTGGGCGGGAGGTGAGGGTGGGGTTTGGGGGAACTAAACATGTGCGCTCAGTTAGGCATCTTGATCCAGGGATATTCTCTGGATTTAAATCTTGTGTCTTCCACACCGGAAGGGAGCATCCTAGGCAGCAGTGAGTCTGCAGAAACTTGACTAATAGGGCTACCAATTATGAACCAGGTAAAACGTCTACCAAAAATAAAGCCCTTGGTTTTGGAATAATTGAACTGAAACCATTTTTTTTTTTCTGGCTGTGATTAGAGTAGAACTAATACTCCTTTTTTTTTTTAAATATTTATTTGAGAAAGAGAGTGAAAGTAGTGGGAGGGGTAGAGAAGGAAGGGCAGAGGGGAAGGGAGAGAGACAAGCAGACACCATGTTGAGCCCCATTTGGGGCTTGATCTCGAGAACCTTGAGATCATGACCTGAGATGAAATCAAGAGTTGGATGCTTAACTTACTGAGCTATTCAGGTGCCCCTAGAATTAATAGTTTTCTAAAGTCACTCCTGGTTCTGAATAATAAATTCAGATCATCTGATTTTAGATCTTTTCTTCTTGGTGGCTGAGTACAAAAACAACAACAGCAAAAACAACAACACAACCTATTTATCCAAAAGTAAATCCAGAACCCATCCCTATTTCAGTGCATTGGCGAATATCTCCTTATGCAACAAGAGAAGAGAAGAGAAGACGTCCCCTCTCAGTCCTGCTTCTCTGCCAGCATCTGTGAAGGGGCGCACAGATTCTCACTGCTGAACTGTCACATTTTGTCTCATAACTGATTCCTGCTCCAGGAGTCAAAGGCTGATGAAAGGTCAAAAAAATAGAAACTAACATTCTATTTTATAGTGAGTCTAACAGATCTCTCTATGAAAAGGACAGGACAAGAGTAAAAACCATGGACTGACTATGGCTGCTCTTATCCACTTGCTATTTGTTTAGATTAAATTGTTTAGATCAGATCAGATTAACCTCGAGGCCCACGAAGCCCAGATGCACTGTCTCTGAAAAGTAAACCGAGCATAATGTTAGAGGGAATGTCCGTTACGTTACTAGGTGTGCCTGTTGGCGATCATCAAGAAATGCCCTCTAGAGCCTGGCACAAGCTGCATTCTGGGTTCACCTGTACTGGGCCATCCCTGCCGGGCTGCTAAAGGCAAGCGCCCGGACAGGGCAGTGGGAGGCGTTCCTGGTCCTGTCTGGAGGCTAGGGCTTCTCCCTGCGAGTCTTCCTTCACGCCCAAGCAGCGGAGCTGAAATTAGTGGGAGCTCCTTCTCAACAGCTAAAATTCAGTTTCTTCTCTAGGGCTGGCTTGCTCCGGCACAGCTGACCATATTGACCGAGAACTCTGGCTGCGGAGTTGTTCCCTCCACGACTTAAGCAAGAACGCGGAAAGCAGGCTGTGCAGGCTATCTTGGAATTCTGCCCAAATGTAAAAAACAGCATGAGAAAATCACTCTCATAAAAACAGAAGAGGGTCTGGGAACTCAGAAAACCACTGATGATGGATTAAATTTGCCTTCACTTTACACCAGGTATAGTTTGAGAGAAAAAAAAAAAAAGCAATTGAGTTATAAATCTAAAAATCAAGGAACTGAACTAAAGCCCTGGTTTTGTCCCTAAATAATTGGGAAGTTTTAACAATTTTCAAGCCTCTGAGGAACTATTTGCTAATCTATAAATCAAAACCAACTATGAAGTTACATTTTAGCCTTCTTCATATGTCAGTATTTTATTAGGTTTCATTGAAAACTAGAAGTGATTGAGCAGAAGCTAAATTAATTCTGTTCTTTTAAGATTAAACAGAATAGAGGTGCCTGGCTGGCCCAGTCTGCAGAACAGGCGACCTGACCTCAGGGTGGTGAGTTTAAGCCCGATGTTGGATATAGAGCTTACTTGAAAAAAAAAAAAAAAAGATAGAAAAGAAGATTAAACAGAATTAAAAAAAATCAGTATGTCTTTCAAAAATAAAACTTCTTAATGTTTTTTATATATTTCCTCTCAGTCTTTTATATATTCTACAGTAAATATCTATCCACTCGTACTTTATATAACAGTTCTTATGCATATACTATTCTAGCATAGAATTTTGATTTCAGGTAACATTAAATAGTATTGACTTTTTCTATAATTATTAACTACAAATTTACAGAATTTAACTGAATGAAGTTTCATTTAGGGAGACAGTCTGGGCTATAACACACTTCTGATTGGAGGCAAGTCTGACTACACGTCTTTGTGACTGCAAAAGGACGTGTGGCATCATTAGAAAATTTCACTGTTATATTAAGAATTAAAAGTTATTTACCCATGAAATTTATTCACTTTATCTGTCTTGGAGTCAGACGATCTCATTCCTCATGCTAAAGTCCTTTCCTGGTTATTATTTAATACCTTTGCTTTGTCAAAGCCTATTCCTCTTTTTAAAAATCCCAAATGAAGAAGGAGCTCATTACATAAAACATTGGCCTTAATGTCACTTGGCCCAGTCGGTGTAGGTCAAACACGAAAGTCTAGTCATTCTTGCACCAGATGAGAAAGAGGTTAGGTCCTAAAATTCTAGTCTGCCTCCCATTCCGTAAGTCAACACACAAGATTTCTGTAATCATATTTTGTAAACATCACTGGAGAAAACAAATTTCCGAGTACACTCTTTCAGCACAGGATATGGTAAGCTATGCGATTTTCAAAGGAATTTTAAGCAGAAGACCAAGAAACTAGTATTTTGAGCTTGGCATTTTGAGGTGAAGGATCCTCCATTAGTAACATGGACAGACATGGCTATGACCATAGCTTGCAAAAAACCTTCTTCTAGAACCAGGCCATCAAGGCAACTGGAAGGAGGAAGATAGGAGTGGAACAGGGGGACAATGGGGCTCTGTGTGAAGGCGGCTGGCAAACGGCCATCCCGTTACCCTCCTCTGAGGCCTTTGAATGTGTAGGTGTTTGCAAAGCAACCGAATTGAAGAAATAGAAACCAAAAAGATCAAAGTAGCCTGAGACTGAAAGTCACATCAAAACCAGATCCATGGAAAGATCAAACATCTCGTGATTGTCCCTAAAACGTTACTAACTGTATCTTTAAAAACGAACAAAATAAAACCCCCAGAGGAACCACCAGCGTGGCTGCCTGTGTCTCAAGAGAGGTTGTGATTCTAAACGGAATTAGACACCAAAAGAAAGTGTTTGATAAAGTTTTATTTGCAGGGAAATTCAAACTCACAAATGACTTCCAGCTGGGCTTTGGCAAATTCTAGTTCCCAGGAGCTTCATGTGTTCAGATAAAGGTCACAGTTTCCCAAGTTAAAGAACAGAAGTTCAGAAGGGGCCAAAAACGGCTCCAAGGATGGCTGCCTGCAACTGGGACCTTTTCACATTTTTCTTCACTGGCTCCCTTGACATTTCACCCTTCCGCATTTGCCAAGAGTCTCGGTTTGGGAGTCACTGAATTCAGCTCTTTTTCTGAAAGTGATCTCTCAATCCTAGATATTGAATGTCATTGGCAAGCTCTATTGCTTTACATCCTGTCGGCCAGAGCAGTGTGGCTACCAAGCACTCAATCAGCCGGCGGCCTTGGGGAAAGACAGCTTGGGACACCGAGTTTCACCAAACAAAAGGACCTCATAGAAGTGAGGCTCCCGCCCCCCCGCCCCACAAATACCAGAGAACCGTGTCGCTCCAGCACTCCTTGCTTCTCCGATCAGAATAGGCACATCCTGAATGTGATGGAAAGAATCAAAGTTTCCAGAAATTGAGTCCAAACAGTTTAGCTCATGACCAAAGAGAGAATGTTTGGTCCTCCCAAAAATACCATTATTAGAGGTGATGTATACAGAAGTGGGAATACAGCAGCTCGCACAACAGACTCCGCGAGAACGTTCACGAACCCCCCAGGAGGAGGTCTTGTCCTTCAGCTCCACGACGGTCACAGGCCCATGTGCACAAGCCCCAGACCGGTCCGACCGCCTGGGACCCTCGGGCAGTCACAGCACCGATATTGTACCAAACGGGGTGGAGGCCAATGGCCTCTAATCGTAACTTTCACTGCGGAGAGGAAGCCCCATGCTTCACCCCCATCGCCGCCGCCCTCCCTTCTGTGGCTCCTCCCGCCCTCTGGTTCTCCGCTCCGGTGAGTCCCACCTTATGCTCCGTCGTGGCCCCTTCACCGCGGCCTGGAGAACCCTCATCCCATCCTCCGCAAGCTCCTACGCCTCTTCTTGTCCTACAAGTCTCTGCACCTCCAGGCCGGATGGGAACCTGGCCCTCCCCCAGGACGGCCCTTCCCCTGCAGGCCTCGCTCCCACAGGAATGGAAGATTCTGCGCCCACTCCAGTCCCCCACTGTGAGCATTTCCCCCCCTTTTAAGGCTGCTGCCCTGTGCGCATCCTCTCCGCGGTGCTTTTACTTCGGCCTCGTCCACACTGTTCCCGGTTCAGCGGGACTTCGGGCCTGCGTCCACCCTCCCTTTCCCCCCTGGAGGTGCCCTTGTCCAAGAAGAACAGAATCAGAAAGGAAAACGTCTTCAGTGGTAAGACTGCGGATCACCTCAGGAATTTCTAATTTTATCAACAATGTTAAAAAATAATGTGATTAGGGGCGCCTGGGTGGCTCAGTGGGTTAAGCCTCTGCCTTCGGCTCAGGTCATGATTCCAGGATCCTGGAATCGAGTCCCACATCGGGCTCTCTGCTCAGCGGGGAGCCTGCTTCCTCCTCTCTCTCTGCCTGCCTCTCTGCCTACTTGTGATCTCTGTCAAATAAAAAAATCTTAAAAAAATAATGTAATTACAGTTTGTGTGTAATAAAACTC